TGAGCCCGATTTGTATCTTAAAAATCTTCTATATCTGCCAAATACCTGTCTCAAATCAGATTCATATCAGGGATTACATGATGCCTAATTTGCTTTCATTCAATTTGCTAATTACGCAAATTTTGCCACCCAATCTACTGCATCATTATGTAATGCACTTGAAAATAGAGATGTTATCAGTTTGTTCGGCTCCTAATTTAAAATTGGGTAAGAATATATCTTTTTTCTACCAAATTTGTGTTTCAATCAAATTCGTATAATTTGATCTATCATCGATATCTTATGATGTAGTGATCAAATTTTGATGATTTTAATGAAACGATTCAAATAATATCAAAATCATCAAAATTTGATCACTACATCATAAGATATCAATTATAGATCAAATTATACGAATTTGATTGAAACACAAATTTGGTAGAAAAAAGATATATATAAAAAAAAAATCATAGTCATAGTTAAATAGGAAATTCTGTAAGATAAACATATTTTTGCGCTGTGAAATTCCCAAAAGTTGCGATACTAAAGAAGATTCAAAGAAAAATCCGAGATTCTAAAAAATTCCAACTAGATTCTAAAGATTTAAGATAAGCATTGTGAAAATCTAAAAAAATCATAGCAATTCTGAAGATCCAAGATAAATATGTCTTTGTGTCATAAAAATCCTTAAAAGTTGCAATACCATTTGTGTTATGCGTTAAAAATTCAAGCCTTGTGTAAAACCTATAAATTTTAGAGATAGTATTAATCAAGTAAAATTAAAAAAAAATTCTATTTAAATCTCTTATCAAAAACCATGAGCAGTTTGCTTTTTGCGATCATTCACACAATCTATCTACTATTATGGATCCTGACTCATCTATTATTACTGATCCTGAATCATCTTTAGTTATAGATGATTATAATGAAATATATGATACGTTGTCTTCTCCAGAGTTAGAGACCAATTCAACTTCAACTTTGACTAACAATGCAAGAAAACCATCGCCCTTATGGTTTTATTTTGAATTTAAAGCCGAAGAGCCTAATCACCCAATATGCAAGAAATGCAGTATCAAATTTTCAGATAAAACTGGAAACTCAAGTCTAGAAAAACATTTGAGTAACTGACATAATATTAAAATCCTAAAAATTAAATCTTACCAATCAAAGTTATCATTTGATCATACTGATCCATGGCCCGAGAAGCAAAAAAAAGACCGTGATACTGCTTTAATTACCTGGGTGATTGTAGACCAACAACTATTCAGCGTCATTGGAAATAAAAAATTTATTAAGATAATTAACATGTTTGATGTACGTTACAAAGTTCCTGAACATCACCGAGTTAAAGATATGGTCATTAGTTACTTTAAAGAACAAAGAGGAAATATAATTAATACTTTATATAAAATTCCTGGCAAAGTTTCTTTGACAATGAACATGTGGACATCAACCATTAATCATGAAGCTTTCCTCGGAGTTACTGTTCACTATATAAATCATCAATAGAAGTTTCGTCGATTTTTGCTAGATATTGTTCTCTTTACCATGCATCACACAGGAGTAAATATAGCAACTGAAATTAATAGAGTTTTAGTTGAATTTAATCTTTTAGATAAAACATTGACCCTTACCACTGATAACAAATCAGCTATGCTAGTATGTGGGCAGGTCTTGGCAAATAACTTACTAACGGAATTGGATAATCAAAGCTTTCATCACTATAAATGTACCGCACATGTATTAAATCTAGCTGCACGCCATGGGTTAGAGGTTATTGAAAAAGAAATTGCTAATATACGTGCATTAATGTTAAAAATTAAAATATCAACAAGGCTATGTGACGAATTAAGAGATCTATGTGCTGTACAGAAGTTAGACTACTTGAAGCCAGAATTAGACGTTGAAACGAGATGAAACAGCATGTATTATATGCTAAAAAATTGAATCAAATGAAAACTGCTTTGCGAATATTAGCTGTTAACAATCATGAAATTCAAAATTTAATGCCTATGGCAGAAGAATGGATAAAAATAAATGTAAATATATATTAAAATTATTTTTTAGTTCTATAACATAAAAATTTTAAATAAATATTATATTATTAATTTGGATACTTGAAATTAGAAGATACTTATCTTAATGGAGCTATTAGAAAAGGCTACGAAATTATTATCCGCATCTTCATATCCAACAATTGCGGATGTTCGATTGGTATTCGACAGTATTCAAGAATATCTTGATAATTATATAGAAAGTGATGAATCTAATCAATATATATTAGCTGACTCAATTAATGAAAAAATTGCTGAATATAAAGATATAATCGATAATGCAACAACTGTTGCAACTATTCTTAACCCACAAATGAAGCTTTCACTATTTGAAGTTGGACAACAAACCTCTAATGCAATTAATAAAATTAGAGAAATATTTGGTCAATATTTTACATCTAATGAATCAACCCCCCACCACCTCATATTACAGATGATATTGATATAGCTCATCAATACTTTAATGCGCTTAAACAACGCCACACAGGACCAAATTCTGAAACAAAGCAAAAGCCCACTGATGAACTAGAACGATACTTGGCTTTACCTTGTGCTGAAGATATTATACCTTTATTATGGTGGCAAGTACATGCAAAAGAGTTTCCAACATTAGGATGTATAGCAAGAGATTATTTGTCAATTCAGGCGACCAGTGTAGCCTGTGAGCAGGCTTTTTCAGTAGCAGGAAATACTATATCAAAGACCCAAAATCGTCTTGATCCAGAAACATCAAGGGCGTCTCTTTGTTCTAAAAGCTGGATTGAAAATGAGATTCTACCAATAGTTAGTAATAGTAAAAATAAACATATTAATATATTTTTGTTTTCTAATTATAATTTGTAATTAAATAGATTAAATCTGATTAAAAAGAAGTGAATGGCATTAAAAATCTAAAAATAATGCAGATCAGGTGTTAATTTTTTTTTTTTTATGAAATTAGTTTCTTTTTTTTTTCTTTTTTTTTTTATAAAATTAAATAGTTTCATTATCTTAGGTTAAATTTCAATTATTTGTTATCTTCGTTGGGAATTTGGTTTTTTTATTATTGTATTGTGAAAGTTTCAAAAGATTAAATAAAGTCGAAATTTTTAGTTACCGGTAATAATATTACTATATTACAAATCATGATTGTATATCGTCACATGATTAGGTGGCTTCGGATCTCTAGCGATGATTTTTGCACATGTAACTTTATAGACTTTTCTTAAAAAACAGTTAATAGCAGAAAATATGTACATTATACATACTATGTATATAAAAACAGCGTTAATTACATAGAATTTTTCTTAACCACATACAGAATTGGTTTTAGTCACCAAAAAACTTTCAAAAATCATGTGGTTATTGTCAATTCATCATGATTAGAATCATGATAATAATATTTAATAAAATATTAATTAATTCAGAAATGATTTTGTTTTCTTTGATTCTTCAAATGTAAAATGATCGTTGCAATCTTTTAAAAACAAATCAAATAACACAAACGTGATTATCATTATCTTGGTTATAACAAATCATCATCTCTGCTCTAGTTTGGTCTAGGTCTTGGAACTGGTTCTGGACCAAGTTCTGAACTGAACCTAGACTAACTTAAGTCCTGGAACTGGTTCTTGGACCAAGTCCTGAACCGAACCTAGCCTGACCTAGGTCCTGGGACTGGTTCTTGGACCAAGTTCTAAACTGAACCTAGACTAACCTAGGTTCTAGGACTTATCATGTGAGGACTTAGTTCAAGGGTCCTTGTAACAGGACCTAAAGGTCTTAGGACCAAGACCGGACCTGGACTGACTTTACCATCCCTAGGTATAGATATGCTGATTAGAATATTTCAGATCACAAAAATTTTGTATATAAGATAAACCTGTAAAATAGTATTGGTATGTATAATATGTCAAGCCCTAGTTTTTATGCTCTTATTTTTTTTAATTCAGACACATATTTATAAAATATTTAAAGTAAGTATGTATTTACAAAATATTTATTTAAGCCATCTTATTTAATTATTTAACTTAATTTACTTTCAAATAAATCCAAATTTAATAAAAATTTTATTAAAATTTTTATTTTTATTATTATTAAAAAAAATAAAAAGTAAAAACTTATCAACAAAAAAAAAATTAAATTAACTATCATGTTATGTCTTGACCTCCCAACTATCGTGCTACACCCCAAATCTAACTATCGTACTATATATTGAATCTAATTATCATGCTTTTCCAAATCTAACTATTGTGCTATGTCCCAAATCTAACTATTGTACTACATCCTAAATATAACTATCCGAATCCATTATGCTACTAATTATTGTTTTATTTCACAAATCTAACTATTGTGCTATATCCTGAATCTAACTATTGTACTATATTTGTTCTAACTTTCATGCTACTGTATGTTTTGTTCTAACTACTAAGGTATGTTCTAACCATAGTGCTATGCCCTGTTCTAACTACTAAGGTATGTCCTAACCATAGTTCTATACCCTGTTCTAACTATCACTTTATATTCTATTCTATAGTAACTATCATTCTATACCTTGTTCTAACTAACTATTGTGCTATGTCACGTTTTAACTATAGTGCTATGTCCCATTCTAATTATAGGTTTACATCTTGGTGTTACATCACATTCTAGTTATTAGTGCAATATCCTATTCTTCTAACTATCGTGCTATGCTTTTTCTTCATATAACCTAGATAAGATCTCAATAGGTTTAATAAACTATAAGTTACCTCAAAGCTAATTAATAAAAAGCTCAGCATAATTTTGTTTACTTACTTGCCTTAATACAACGGGCTTTTTTAATGATCTTGCACTGAATTGAGACAGCAACGAAGCTTTACATTTCATATTAGCTAAAAAAAAAAAGCTAGTATTTGGTGTTTCATTTACTTTAAGCAAAACAAATCTTTGTGAGGGATTAAATGGCTTTAACAAATCTAGACTCTCTATACTACTTATTTGAAAATTTGCACTGTCTAATAATTATTATACGAATTTTTTTGTAAAATGCCAAAGTGCAGAATTAAAAGCCAGTATGACTTATGTAATAGCCAATCAGATACGAGAATCGACATGTGGATTATTCTAGAGCTTGATTTTCTAATTTGGCATATCAGCGAACTGTAGTATACTCTCTTTTAACGGCTATTATATCTCAAAATTTTTTTTAACAAAAAGTAGGTGATTTGGCTTACTTCTAGCAGATGATTGGCTTTGTTTTCCACTTCTATTTTGGGATTAACTCAGTGTACTACAACTATGTATTTTGTATATATGTATATATATTCATATGACACCCCCATATCATGTCTTTAAACGGTTTATGTGTAATAGGATAATGAGACAGAATCGAGAAATGTTTGATCCAAACTTTAAGGAGTTATACAAATTTTAGAGATATATCAATGTTGTAGTAATATAATATTTTTTTAGCCTTATACAGGTTATAATAGTGTACTTTCTTTTTCTTTTTCTTTCTATGTATATCATAATTATGATTTTTTTTTTTTTGTTTTTTCTATTTCTTTTTTTTATATTTTATCTTTTGTTGATGTAATAAAGAAGCTAACAATTATTAGGTAATTTTCTAGAGGGGGAGAGTTAAAAAATTTAAAATTTTATATACAAAGAGACCTCTCTAAATGCACTCTCTATAAGTGCACCCTCTATATAAATTCTTTTTAAATGCACAGTATAGCCTGGTCCTGGTTTATAATAGCACTATATATTTTGCTCTTTATAAATGCACTTCTTCTCTAAGTGCATATTTTTGATATTTTTTATTATAGTCCCAAGAGGGTGCATTTAGAGAGGTCTCTCTGTATAAAACCTGATAAATTATATATTAAAAACTAGAAGGAGTAAGCCTCTGATAAAAAAAAATCAGATGATAAATGATACTGCTCTAGTTTCTCCTTTTTTTATTTTCTTTATACTTGTTTCCTTTTTTTTTCCACCTTTTTTTATTTGGTTTTTGGTTTTTTTATTGTAGTTAGATTATATAATAATCTTTTTGCCAAGATCTAGGTAGAAAAAATTTAAAGAAAAGAAGTGATCATAACAGGCTAGTAGAACCATGTTAAGGATATTCTTGGAAGTTAACTATAAGAAACAATCAAGTTTTTACTCTGGCAGATTACATATATACCTATGGTAATTGGATGAGTTATATTTCTATTTACAAATACTAGGTATTGGATATAGTATTAGCATTTGCATATGTAACTATTATCTTTCTAATAAAATATAGCATGACCGCTTGGTTTTTTTTAAAAAAAAAATTATTTTTTTATTTTTATTTTAATAAGTATATTTAAGAAACTATTCAAATTATTCAAATTATTTTTTGTATTAACTGTGCCTAATTCTAAACTTTACTGAATCAGTTATTTATCCTTAACTAAAAATCAAAATTAAGTTACAAAATATTATATTTCTTTTACTATATAAACTTCTTTGCAAACAATAGTATTGTTTGCAAAGAAGTTTATATAGTAAAAGAAATGTTTTTTAAAGATATCATGGCACTCACCAAGCCGATTTTAACACTCTAACCACCATTAGATACACCTTGACAAGCTTTACAAAAGTCTCTTAAGTTAGAAAAGTGATTAACTTAGTATAAAAAAAGTTTTAGATATGTGCATACCACATTTAGAGACCCTAATTTTTATAAGTAATTTGAGTCACATTTTACTATGATTATTCTCTAGTTGACTGGTGGATCACCAATTAATATTTCAAATATGGAGCATTTTCATATTAAAAGTATAAATTAAAATTTATATAAGACAGAATAGTTGACCAATCAAATTGAAATATATTAGTAATATGCTTTAGTGGCATGCCAGGGTGGCATCTTGGCATGAACTTTGGCAAATAGCATGCCATGTGGCATGCAAGATTTTTTAGCTGTATCACACACCCTATATATATGCATTCACCTGCATGTTTTGTAATATCTTTCTAGTTAGTACCTGTTGTGCTACCGACACTGAGTTCATATTTCAAGCTACTCTTTAGAGCACTGCTGTAACCCAATCTATATCTTAAGCCACAATCTTTCTAATTAGTTGTCTATTATATACTCATTGCCCTTAACAGTTCACAACAACCCCAGTATCCATACTTAGAACTGTCTCCTTACTCAGATTCTCTATCGGTCTCTCCCTTACTTCTAGCTAGCAACCTGGAAGGGTTGGTTTGCTAAGGCTTTAGATGCCTGAAGGATGCCCTTCTCTTAGTTTATATTTTCAGAGTGTATACTCTTTTTCTCCAGTGCGACTACCTAGTGGTTCAGCTGGTGTGTCTTCTACTATATAATCTGGTTGCTCGGTTCTTAATCTTAGGCCCCAGTTTGAATTCAGTCCTCCTGTGATACTGTCAAAGATCACTATTACATCCAAATTCAGGACTTGCCAAATGGGTTTTCAGTTATGCCGGTTCCTCAGATTAATTATACCAAAGCTTCATTACAAGATGGTGTGATTGAAGTTATAGATTTAGTTCTAGATCCAACTGATAAGTATAGCTGTCAACTAAACACAAGCCTATTTTTCAAATATTGTAACCAGTGGGATTTGAACTCTAGACCTGCTACTTGGAGAGGGTGACAACTAAACCACTACACTAAGCTGCCACACCTCTTGAGTTTATAGTTATATAAAAATAAAACTATTTAAAATTTAGTATATATTTTTTGTGCATTATTGTACAGGTTTTTAGCTAGTTATTTAATAAAATAAATATAATAACATAATAAATAAAAGATAACTAACTAAAGAGCCAATTAATAATTTATTATTATTTTTTTTTTAAACATTCAGCAATTATGCTAATACTTTATTAGGTAAAACTTCACCAAATCTATTTCATATTTATTTTATGAGATGAACTAACTTTAACACTGGGCTAACATGTTATACTTAAGTTACAAGTATTGATTCACTCGGTTGTTCTTAGCGAATACCTATATGAGATCTGCTATAGTAAAATTTTCTCTCAATATTAAAATTTTCTGCAAACAAAAACTCTAATATATCACTAAGTGACATTTATAACCATTATGATTGCCTCCTCTTTTTTAAATCCTAAATCTTCTTCTCCTAACTTCCTAAGTAAAGAGAAAAACTTCTAACTACTTAATGAAAAAACTTATAATCAAAGAAAAAAAAAAGGTGAAGTTAGAAACAAAAGGGGAAATACCAAAACGAATACCACTAAAACAACTATATAAAAACCTAAAACAGAAAGAAAGAAAAAAAAGGCAAATAAAAAAAAGAAGAAACAAACATAATAAAAGTACTATTATAACCCATTCTAGGTTAAAAAAATATTATACATATGAATTCAGAATAACATATATCTCACATAATATTAATAAAAGTATCTAAAACTAACTATAAACTATTTCACAAATTAAATCTAATAATAAAAATTTCTACACGTTCTACACATGTTTGTTGTTTTCCTAATTTGCTACATCACAATAGCAACTTCTAAAAATGGAAGTGGTAAACAATGTAGATTGTTTGGAAGGGGGTAGCCAAATCACCAGATTTTTTTGAAATTTTTGTAAAAAAATGCCAAC